ATATTGGAACATTGCTATCATGTCTCTCCTGGTCCTTCTCTTCACTAGATTAGTCATGCCCAGTTCCTGCAACCGTTCTTCATATGTTTTGGCCTCCAGTCCCCTAATCATCTTTAATAGAATAGAATAGAATAGCAGAGTTGGAAGGGACCTTGGAGGTCTTCTAGTCCAACCCCCTGCCCAGGCAGGAAACCCTACACCACTTCAGACAAATGGCTATCCAACATCTTCGTAAAGACTTCCAGTGTTGGGGCATTCACAACTTCTGGAGGCAACTGATTAATTGTTCTCACTGTCAGGAAATTTCTCCTTACTTCTCAGTTGCTTCTCTCCTTGATGAGTTTCCACCTGTTGCTTCTTGTTCTGCCCAGATCCCATCATCCCCGACCACCAGTCCTAGCAGGAACTGGCAGCCTGTACGAGGATTTCTAGCAGGTTAGAGAGGACAGAGAATTCACCCCATGCATTGATAACAGTCAGCTGGGGAAGAAAGCAATTGCTGGAACAATCTCATGCAAGAAATAGAACAGTCCAGTTTGTTGTATGTATTTATTTTTAGGGACGGAGGGGTGTGTCCGTGTGTGTGGAGGGGGAAGTGAATATCCGATCTCCATGGGGAAATCTGGCAAGGGGGACATTGATCTCCTACAGAACCTGCAACTCTACTTTTCTGGAAGCAGAAATTGGGGTGAGGGCTGGAGCAGTGGTGGGATTCCAATATTTTCCTACCGGTTCTATGAGGGAGCGCTTGGAGCATGTAGCATGCGCATAGTGCTCAAAGTCCTCCCTCGGTGTCAGTCTGGTGAGGTGAGTTGTTGTTTAGCTCAGCTGAGGTGCAGCCGTCCACTCTGCTGCGCGAATCCGCTGAGCTAAAAAACAAGGGCATATAGGACGGGGAACGGAGGGGGCAGGAGGGCGGGGCCAATCAGAGGTGGTATTTGCCAGTTCTCCAAACCAGGGGTGAAATCCAGCAGGTTCTGACTAGTTCTGGAGAACCGGTAGCAGAAATTTTGAGTAGTTTGGAGAACCGGCCAATGCCACCTCTGGCTGTCCCCAGAGTGGGGAGGGAAGGGGGATTTTGCAGTATCCTTCCCCTGCCACGCCCACCAAGCCCCGCCCACAGAACCCATAGCAAAAAACTTTGCATTTCCCCACTGCTCCGAACTAATTAAAATTTCCACTTCCGGTTCGCCCAAATCGGTCCAAAGCGGCTGAATCCCACCTCTGGAAGGGAGGGAGTCGAAGGAAGGAAAGGAGGAGAAAGGTTGGTCCACAAGGCCAAATTAGCCCAGGGGTCCAAGTAGATCCCTTCTGTCTCCTTCCCAGGGAGATGGTCAGACAGGAGATCAGAGGGTAATCTTTCTTTTGAACGACTGGACTTAGGAGAGAAAGGCGAGCAAAGGTAGTCAGGTGGGAGAGAGGAGAGAGAGCAGCTGGGGAGCCAAGGAGAAACCCCTTACCAGAATCTCCACCTCTTCTATCTCCACCTTTGGAGCCTGGAACGGGATTCTTTATTCATTAACTGATCATGGAAAATAGCAGGGCTTGGTTTAGGCACACGGGGAAGCGAGAATTCAGCCTGGAGCAATAAAACAACCTCCATCCATCCCTCCCTCCATCTATCTAATCTAACATCTAACATCTATCTATCATTGTTCATTTATATTTATCTATCTTCTATCTTGTTGGTGTCTATTTTCTATCTTCTATCATCTATCCATCCATCCATCCATCTATCTAATCTATCACCTTACATCTTATCTATTATTGTTTATATCTATCTATCTGTCTGTCTGTCTGTCTATCTATCTATCTATCTATCTATCTATCTATCTATCTATCTATCTATC